GAAGCAGACAATTTGTAGATTTTGATTCTTGGAAGCGATGGTGATGACTAGGTGACCGGGGGGAACGATAAACATCACACCACGGCTCAGGCGGCCGCTCATTTTCTGGTAGCTTGGGCCACTGCTCTTGCATTGCTGCTAGTGCGATCCTCTGCCCTCTTGCCTTTCTCTGCTACTGCCGCTGCCACCGAACTCCGAAGAGGACAAGTGAGGACATGCCATCTCAAAGTATCCTTCCCCATTAGTCACCACAGCTATCTTTGTGGCCCTTGAGTTGTAGTATGGAGCTGTCATCGATCCCTACATCAACATAACCAAATTAATAAAAATGACAGTTTCAGTACATGGGATTCGGTTACTATGAAATTTATAAAGATTGTATTATGATTTACACACTGTTTGTTTTAACAAAAAATAGTTTCCATTGAAAAAAACAATACTCATAATTTAAGACAGTAAATAACGTGACAATGACATTCTTATATTAACTTATGGGCTATAAGAATGGATAGATATAAATGACACTAAATTGTCCATACTCGTTCGATTGGGAAGGGTGATTACCAAACAGATTAAATGTGTGTTTAGATTCACCGCCAAATGGCCACATGCCACCACCTTCCTAATGGTGTGTCGTGGCTTTAATTTGTTTTTCAGATGCTTCGACGATTATGCCCTCCCTTTGTCCAAATAGCCTCTGAATCTTATCCCTCTTTGTCTAATGTTTCAGGAAAAAAAAATGAACACAGTTATAACATTAATGAAAAAAATTCAAAGCTCAATTTTTACACTTGTTTCACCCAACATTTGTTTTAACTATCGGACTTACATTCAGAGCGGCTTTAAGAAGGCTATAGCTGACTGCACTGAAATACGACTCTGGATTTTCCCTTCTTGGCCCAAAAAATGCCTACATCACAACAATTTTTAAGAATTTAGTATACACAAACCATAATACTACATATCTGAAATATTTATTCAAAATGTTAGTCAAAAAATAATAATATGCAATCCAAATTCACTCTATATATGAATCAATAATACACCAATTCAATTTTAACCACAACCAAATTTAGTTTAGGTCTCACTCTATGGCTGGAACTTCATAATTAAGAGAGTGATTCTTTATTTTATTACAAGTAGGTCCTTCCTGCTGCCTAGTGCCTATGGATTGGCCATTTATTATCTGGTCCAAACAAATGTCTTTTGCAATTATTAATGTAGAATAAGCAATTATAAGAACTAGTGCGTGTGAAGCACAAGAGACCATTAAGCTCATATAACAGATAAGCAAACACCAAGGATATTTGTAATACTCCAAATTTAGAGTTTTTTAATCCTGGTTACTATAAAGGGTGAAAGAATCAAAAGTAATGAATAAACTGTCCAGACCCTTTTTTCCATGAAAACTTTTTAAAAAGAGTTTGGTTATTAATGATGTAAAAGTTTACCATAGATGATTTTATAATTATTTTTAGAAATTACACTGAATTGGGGAAAAAATTTAGAAGAAGAAGAAGAAGAAGCAGATGACCTTGGAAGCATTCAACTTGACTCGACTCCAGTGAGAAACTGCGGTCTCTGGTTTGGAGAAATTGAAGAATGTAATCATATTGTGATTCAACCGAGCATAATCGATTGCTTGCCACCTTCAAAAGCATATATAAACAAACATCTCTACTGTAATTGATTTGAGCTTATACATATATACATACATGTTAAAAAAAAAAAAAAAAAAAACCCAACCAGAAATGGTTGAATTGAAATCCAAATAGTTTAATCAAATGCCCTAATTTAAGAAGGAAATGGTTTCAGAAAAGAAAAGAAACAACCTCTAGATTTAGAACCTTACCAAAATTGCAGGTCTTTCCCAAGCCAATGAGTTTCGAAAGGTTGAAAGGGAAATGAAGAGCACCGTCTATAGCGAAGAGGATAGGTGTCTATTGGGGAAGAGGATCCGAATTCGGGGGAAAGGAGGAGACACAAAGGTTGTGCCGATGAGGTGTTTATCGTTCTCATAGAGAGAGAGAGAGAGCGTAAATCACAAAAGAGAGAAGAAGAAAAGAAGAAACAGTTCCGATTCGTAGCTCAAAATCAGCGTGGCTCAAATGGCCCGACATCAAAACGATGTCGTTTTGATTTTTTTTTTCCCTGCGTTTTTCTGCAGATTTTTCTGATGAAGTTAACCAATTTCAATCTTCAGAAAACTGATGATGTTAACCCAATTTTTAATCTGCAGAAAAATGCAAAGAAAAGGAAGAAGAAAAATGTAGAGAAAACAGAGAAAAAAAATGCAGTTCAGGCCATCATCTTCATCATCATCATCATCATCTTCATCTTCATCTTTCTCATCTTCAACATCATCATCATCTTCATCAACAAAAAAAAAATTCCTCTACAGATGGCCATCATCTTCAACATATTCAACATCATCATCATCTTCATCATCTTCAACATCATCATCATCATCATCATCTTCATTTTCATCTTCATCATCTTCAACATCTTCAACATCATCATCATCTTCATCAACAAAAAAAAAAAATCCTTTGCAGATGGCCATCATCTTCATCATCTTCAACATCATCATCATCATCATCATCATCTTCATCATCTTCGACATCTTCAACATCTTCATCATCTTCAATACCTTCAACATCATCATCAACAACAAAAAAAAATTCCTCTGCAGATCCAGATCAACATTATCATCATCAATAAAAAAAATTTTTTGCAGATCCAGATCTACTTAGAAAAAATGCAAATTTTTTTTTTTCCAGATCCAGAACTGCGATCGACGCCACCATCACCGACCATCATCGTCGATCGCCTCTTCTCTTCTCTCTCTCTCTCCTTCCTTCCTCTGCTCTTTCCTCTCTGTCTGTTCGAAAGAATGAAAATGAAAGAACGAAAAGAAAAAAAAAAAAAATCTGCCCAAAACGACGTCGTTTTGGGCAGTTCGGGCTATTCGAGCCGCATGAAATTCGAGCTACGAGTCTTTTTCAAGAAGAAATTGTTGCGCGTGTGTGATGGGTGCGAACTCTCTAATGTGTAAAATGATCTTAGCCATTTATTTGTTGTTTGGAAAGATCTGTATACCATTCTAATCAATTACAAAGGACATATATTTTCATATAAAGAATCAATTATAAAGGATATATATTTTCTTTTGATTGGAAGTAGCCAAAGAGTTAAATGTATCTTGAAATTTATTTATTTTTTTAATATGTGTTTTGGTGTTGGGACTTTTTTTTTAAAAAAACATTGGGAATTATATATTTTATATAAAAATCAAATTGGAGTATTTTATACAAACACACCTATATAGGGAATGTGATTTTATATATATATATATATATATATTTAAAAAGTGTGATTAAAAAGTAGTAATGTATATATAATCACACTTTAATTAGAATGTGCGATTAAAAAATATATAAATGTCTTATTTGTGCACTCTGTGGAACAGGGGAGTGAGGTACCATGAACTTGAATCTTGGAAATTCGGGGAGGTAGGAAACAGGTATTTTAAAAGAATTGGTTACTTACATCTCGATAAACCAGTTAAGTTACACTCTCACATGGTGTTAAAAATGAGAGATCAAAAAAAGAAACGTGTGTATATCACTGAAGCCATTTTTGCACAGAGAGAGAAAGTGTGGGTTTTTGATGATGATACAAATTATGGGTTTTTGATCTCTACAAATGTGAGAGAAAGTGTGGGTTTTTGATCTCGGCCCCATGCACCGTTGGGCTCTCAATCTGCTCGGCCGTTACCTCGGCCCAACTCCTGATCATAAATCACCCTCTCATATATGTATGAGGAATTTGGGGATCCTAGAGGTGAGAAAGATGAAGAAAAATGAAAACCATGTCTCTGGAAATGTGTTTGTCAATTGTGATGCATGAGTCCTAGAGAGAGAATCTCTCCTTATCCTTTTTTTTAAAAAAAAGTTAATTACACTTTTGATGAGGCACATCTGTCTAACTAGCTATATATTATATAAGTAAAAGTGAGTTTTTGTGAAGAGTTCTGTGAATTTAATCCTAACATTATTTTTTTAATCCTAACATTATTTACACCGTGCCTTCAGGCACAGGCATACGCTAGTATATATATATATATATATAATCATACTTATTTAAAAAGTGTGATTAAAAAGTAATAGTGTATATATAATCACACTTAATTGAAAAGTGACATAAAAAATAAATATGATCACACTTAATCAAATTAAGTATGATTAAAATATTAATCTAATTTTTTTTATCATACTTCAAATAAAAGTGAGATATTTTTTTTGTCAAAGTGTGATCTTTAACTATTTTTGTAATAGTGTATATAACGAAAACTGACAAAATACATTGATGGTAGATAGAAGTGTTAGGGGAATGAGCAGACTTAAATTGATGTGGGTTAATGTAATAAATAAATATATGAATTTTTTTAATTTGATTAACCAAATAACCGTTGACAGAATTGAGTGGAGAAAAATGATTCATATTGCCGATTTTATTTGTTGGGACTCAAAACTTAATTTGATTTAGTTAAGTATTCAATTAACACTTTTATAAAACGATAGAGTTAAAATTATTAAAAATAAATAATTAAAATTAAAATTATTCTTTTCTAATCTATATTATAATAATTAAAATTATTCTTTTCTAATCTATATTATAATATAAAATATCATTTAAAAATTGAAAATCAATTTTATTTTATTTTATTTTTGTTAAAATCTAAAAAAAGACAAAATAGATTAATCAATAAAAAATCAAATTAAATTCATAATTATTAATTTTTTCCTCCACAAAAATTATACTTAATTAATAAAAAACAAATATTTTAATTTATTTTAATATTCTAACTTATTAAAATAATTAAAAATTAAAATAATCTATTAAAATAACAGCTTGACCATTTAAGTAGGAAGATTTCGCCAATCAAACCAACACCGATTAAAAAGGCAGATTGATACAGATTGAACTATGTTCATAAAAAAACAAAAAATAAAAAGAAAAAAAACGGCATTTTACACCGCCATACTTTCAACACAGAGGTCGCTCTATAAAGTGCAACCATCCCCTCTGCTTACGCTCTGTAATACTAATCAACAATCACAAACACACAGATAATATAAACGCAGAAGAGATAAGAGAGAGGGAGAGAGGGAGAGAGAGAACCAGAGCAATTTGTGATAGTGTGAAAACATGGCTCAGCTTTCAGATCTCATCAACATGAACCTCTCCGACTCTACGGAGAAGATCATTGCCGAGTACATATGGTGAGTCTGTGTTCCCCGTCTGTTCTGTTCTGTTTTTTTTTTTTTTTTTTGGTCTGGGTTGTCGTTATTGTTGTTGGGTTTGCTTTGTTTTTCCACCCATGTTCTGTTTCTTCACTATTGGTGGGTTTGCCCTGTTTTCTTTGCTTTTTTTTGGGCTTTGCTTTTCGATCCAATGTTGCTGTCACAAATGTGTCGTTCTCATGGCATGCGGTTTCTATTCCTCGCGATCCACCAATTTTTTTTTGCCATACATCAGATTTATTTTATTTTATTTATTTATTATTACTATTATTTTTTTTTTTAAGTTTCCACTGCCATTGATCTTTGTTTTTAGTCTTGGTTATTTTTGTTTTGTTTGTTTAGCGATCTGGGTTCATACCGTTCTGGTAGCAAATGGGTATGCTCTGTTTTTTATTTGTTTCCCCTTAGATCAGTCTTGTTGCAAGATCTCACCTTTTTGTTATCAATCATTGTTTTTTCATTTTCATCTTCATTGTTGTTCTGTTGTTAGACCATCTCCAACCCAGCAACTTTTCTTTCATCAAATTTAAATTTGATGAAAAAAGTAACTTTTTGTTGCTCCGATGTTTCATCACACCAATATCAAATCCAGGATATGTTAGAGCATCTCCAATGGTGTGCACAATTTTTTTTAATACCAAATTTAAGTAATAACTCTATTTGATATTAAGTGTTTCAAGGGAAGATTTTGAGATTTCAGACCGGCCAGATGTCCGACTGGTTGACTGGCCGGTGTATTTTTTTCAAAAATTTTTTGCCTAGAGGCGGTCATTCTCTAGTAGGACATCCCGGGATGAAAATTCAAAAGCTCTGAACAGTGATTTGATGAAAGTTCCCAGCGTCCTCAATTTGGTGAAGGAATTTTTATATCTTCGATTTGATACTCATTTGTTGAAACTATAAAATAGATGTTTTTCAATCAAATTTAAATTTGACGACAGAATTAATGAACCATTGGAGATGGTCTTACAGTTTTTATCAAATCGAGGATGGCTGTGGTTTTCACCAATTTACTGTTCAAAGTCGTTGGAGTTGCAGGTAGTACAACACCACCGGATGTCCTGGTTGTCCTTCCGGATGACTACTTCGGTGAAAAATTGGTTTTCACCAATTTACTGTTCAAAGTCGTTGGAGTTGCAGGTAGTACAACACCACCGGATGTCCTGGTTGTCCTTCCGGATGACTACTTCGGTGAAAAATTGCCCACAACATATTTCAGATTTGATTGAAAATTATACTGGCCGGTCGACTGTATGCCCGGTCGTCCTCCCGGTCGATCAATGATTTGATGACAGTCCAAAATTTTCCGATGGAGCGCGCGATTTTTATTCAATTTTTTAATGAAAAAAATGAGTATACGCTGGAGATGCCCTTAGTCCATCTAATTTTCATATGATAACTCCAATTTTTGTACTTTTGGGTTATATTTTCATTGAGTAACCTTTTCATTAGCAATAATTCTCTGTTCTTCTGTGTACAGTGCCCTGTTTGGACATAATCAATTTACTTGTACTTTTCTTTTAATCAAATGATTCATGAGATTTTTACATATCTAAGGTTGTTTTAATCAGTTGATTCATTAGATTTATATATCTAATGTCGTCATGTGGAGATTTCACTAATATTGTTTTAAGGAGAAATCTACAACGTCCCCCCCTTTTTTTAAAAATTTGCTCATGTTCAAAAAATGTTAATATTTTGTATCACTTCCATGGAAGTTATTAATGTTTGTGGTGTGTTATGATATTTGCCATAAAATTACAAATAGTGAATTTATGGTTTGTACCCTAAAGTTATGAATGGTGAAGTTATGGCATGTTATATTTTTGCCGTGATACCTCGTTATTGTTGCGATATTTTGTGGTGTTGAGGTGAGAAAAGTTATGAAGTACACACCATATACACCCTTTTGGGGTGTACATTGTAGCATCTCTTTTATTTTAATCATCTCTTTAATTGTATTGCTGTGTTATAGTCATCAGAATGTTTGCACAATTGGATACAAATTTCAGTTATTTCATTTGGTAATCGAGTGTTCATCTTGTTTGTAGATGAAACTGTCATAGTCTTCTCTCAATATAGTATGCTTCATGACATTTTTTTCTTTATTTGTGGTTGCCCTTTTTTTTTTTTTGATTGTTAAAATCTATAATTATACAACTTTGATTGTTAATTTTGAATCGTTGAATAGGATTGGTGGTACTGGCTTGGACCTCAGAAGCAAAGCAAGGGTAATTGCTTTTTACTTATTTAAAATTTGTTTGTCAAGTTGTTCTTGTAGTTATTGTTCATCTTCTTGATTGGTTTTAGTGATTTGTAATATATATGTTGTTGTTTATTCAGACTCTTTCTGGACCCGTTAATGATCCCAAAAAGCTTCCCAAGTGGAATTATGATGGATCTAGCACAGGTCAAGCTCCTGGGGAAGACAGTGAAGTGATCATATAGTATGTTATCTTGTTTTCCCAATTTTCATATCTTCACTTTAATTTGCGCTTGCTTTTATGGTCTTATTTAGTCTCTTTCTAAATTTAAGTTTTACCCGATAAATGTTACGAGTGCTTACCTTTGTAATTTGGTGATTATGTATCAAAACAGCCCTCAAGCAATTTTTAAAGATCCATTCAGGAAGGGAAACAATATATTGGTGAGTTAGTGCATTCATGCAGTTCATTGGAATGGAGTAGTCATTCCATCAGAATAATCAGAATAATCATCTCATGTTTGGTTCGGTAAAAAGGAAAGGAATTTAACATTGGAAATAAAAGCACCATTCACCAATTTAGGAGAATTGTCATTCCGTTGGAAGGCCAAGGAATAGTCATCCCATTCCTTCCTTTAATCGTTCCAATGAACAAAACATTTCCTCAATTTCATTTGGGTTTTGGGGCACTTTCATTGTGAAATCTCAAACGATGTGTTAAAAAAGTTTTGTTGTGCTATTTTTCTCATTAATCATTATTGTCTTAGGTCATGTGTGATGCTTACACGCCTGCTGGTGAACCAATTCCAACCAACAAGAGGTACAATGCTGAGAAGATTTTCAGCCACACTGATGTTGTTGCTGAAGAACCTTGGTAAAGGATTTCAAGCTTTTCACAATATTTTGTCAACACTTAATTGTCACTGTTGTTTGAGTATCTTTGTCCATTTAACTTTTGGAGACTGTAATTTATTTTGAATTTTAATTTTAAATTAGGTATGGTATTGAGCAAGAGTACACCTTGTTGCAAAAAGATGTTAAGTGGCCTATCGGGTGGCCAAAGGGAGGTTATCCTGGACCTCAGGTAATGAAATTGATACTTTTTCCCAATATCAACAATTTCATTTGTCTATTCTGTCTAATATTTAGTGATCATGTCTTCCAATTTTAGAATTTTCTTGAACCTGGTAAATTAATTTTGTCTGCTGGTTTAGCCCTTGTGAACTTTTGGATACTGACATGCTTTGCAACCCCTTGTGTGTGTCAAAAAGGATAAAATTACATAATATTATGTTAGCTTTTAATCTTTTTGAGCCACTTGTGCAATGCTATTAAAAAACATATATAAAGAAGTCCTTATTATGCACCTTTTTAATTTGCTGTTTATTGTGCAGAATTCAATTGCATATAATAGCAATTCTTGTAGATGCTCTGGTGAATATTTTTGTGGCTATTTCTTTTTGCCTAAGACTTATAGTTGAACCTTTTGTTATTGCAACATAGGGACCATACTACTGTGGGGCTGGTGCCGACAAAGCTTTTGGACGTGATATTGTTGATTCACACTACAAGGCTTGCCTTTATGCCGGGATTAACATAAGTGGAATCAATGGTGAGGTGATGCCGGGCCAGGTAAAATTAATAATTTTCAATTGTCTCCTTATGTTTTTGTTCTCCTGATCTGAATTCCTAGTATTCATCAGTGCAATCGATAGTTAAAACAAATATTTCTTTGTACTATACAGTGGGAGTTTCAAGTTGGACCTGCTGTTGGCATCTCAGCCGGGGATGAATTGTGGGTGGCTCGTTACATTCTAGAGGTAGAGTACCTAATTGAAATACGTACTACTTCTAACCACTAATACTTTTTTAATGGTGTATGAATATGAGTAATACATGTGTTATCTAAACTGCTTTTATTTTCTGTTATTAACAGAGGATCACTGAGATCGCTGGGGTTGTGGTATCTTTTGACCCCAAACCTATCGAGGTTAGATTTTTCATGTTTACTTTGCTCTTCATCATTCCCAAGCATCTTAATTTTCTCATTGTTAAATTTACTGAAGGAGGTCGGAACATCTGGTTTTGACACTTCTTGAGCACAATGAAATTGCATTTACCTTAATATCCCTATAGCTATTGCTATTATTGCCATCTTAAGTCGAAATCATGGTTTTTTGCACACCAGGGTGATTGGAATGGAGCCGGTGCTCATACAAATTACAGGTAATGGATGAAATTTCATATAAGGGACTAATGGCACTTTACATATTTGGAATATTTGATGAATTTTAATCCTAATTTCAGCACCAAGTCTATGAGGAAAGATGGAGGTTATCAGGTCATCAAAAAGGCTATTGAGAAGCTTGGACTGAAGCACAAAGAACATATTGCTGCATATGGAGAAGGCAACGAGCGTCGTCTCACTGGACGACACGAGACAGCTGACATCAACACCTTCTTATGGGTAAATAATTATTTTTCCGCTTCAAATATTCCAAATTTGTTATTGTTTTATATATTATTTAGCTTGCATCATTTAGATCAATTATGAAACAATGCTTAGCGTTCACAACAAACATTCCAAACATTCCTTGATTCATTCAATTGCAGTCATTTTGATTTTCTTTTGGTCCCCCATTGTAATTTATGCAATAATAAATATGCCTTTAGTCTGAATTGTAAAATTTTCTTTTTTCTATGAAAATTCAAGAGCACATTTTTTGCTTTTACATCCAATCTCTATGATTGATTGATATACCCTTTCAAGCCCGACAAACCACTTGAGGATATGATTCTAGTGATTTTTGTTGTCATGGTCTAGTTTTTATGACTAGTACTCCCTCCGTCCAAAATTGTTTCATTATTCCAGATATTACACAAAACAAAAGTGATTTATATTTTGTAATTTATTATTTTTCAATGGTTTTAAAGACTTATCTACAAGAATTGAGATCTTTTAATTTGTGGAAATTATTTTTTTAACAAGTCATTATTTATTGACCCACCAAAAATGGACAAATAATTTGAGACTGAGGGAATAACTATTGCAATGGACCTAGCTCATGTTCGTAATACAAAGCAAACCTGAGAGACTTTACTTGTGCTCATGCTTTATTAATTTTTTTCCCACCAGGGGGTTGCAAACCGTGGTGCATCTGTTCGTGTTGGCCGAGACACTGAAAAGGCAGGGAAAGGGTATTTTGAGGACAGGAGGCCTGCTTCGAACATGGATCCATACGTGGTTACCTCCATGATTGCAGCTACCACCCTCCTGTGGAAACCATGAACGTTCACTTAGTTACACTCTTTGAGATTGTGCCCTGCTCTTTCATAGTAGGCCAATTCAGAGATATGAAAAAGAGCTGTATTTCGGAGCCACTTTGAGTAGTTGTCGTCTTCTTATTTTTTCATGTACCAGGTGGTTATTATTTCAAGTAGTAAGGTGACCTCCTCCCATACCTTTGCCTTTGCCTTGTCTTTGCCTTGTCATGAATAACAGTAACATTTTACATTAAAAACAATATGGTGGGGTTAATTTTATTATCATCTTTCTTTTTCTCTTGTTCTATATACAACAAAATTGTGAACATCATCAACATCAACCAACATCATCAAACATTCGAACATCATTTCCCTCAAATTAAATCCGTGATGGCAAAGGTGTTGAGTCTACCTTATTTCACCATCTCCTCACAGTGAGGCCACAAGGCAGCGGCCTCTTCTACAATCGCGCCTCTGTCGCCGCGGCCACCGAGGCCTCGCCAAACTACTCTCTCCTTCTTTCTCTCTCTCTCTTTTTCTGCGTTGCTCCTCTGCCGCCACTCCTCTGCCCTTCTCCGTTGCTTCAATTGCACCCTCATTTGCTCCTTCAATCGCGAGATCTAGATCCACCACCACCGTCAGATCTCAGTTTCACCTCCGTCGAAGTCACCGCCGATGTAGATCAGCTCATATCCAATGTTGATAATGAAATCAAAGCACTAGACTCATACACAACTCTCTGTAACTCCTTCGAATCAATGAATCTATCTAGTTGCAGAGAGAGAAAGAGAAATCACACCCTCAAAACGGTATTGATGTAAAAATAAATGTAATCAAACCACACTCTCAAAAATCTGGCAATACATTAGGACTAAATGGTATATAAAAAAACTTAAAGGATTAAATGGTTTAATTTTTTTCAAGATAGGATTTATGTGTAATTTTTCTTATTTTTTATTATTTTACTTTTTTAATTATATCATTTTTATTTTTTATAAGAAATTAAAAAATATATTTATTTAAATTATTTCAAATATTTTTTAAAATTTTAGGTCTAAAAATTATAGCACTGTGTACATGTATAACATCATTGTACTTTCGTTTGTTTTTGGAGAGTGACAGTCCAACAAAGGGAGGCTGTGCTGGTGTCAACATTGAATGAGGAGTAGTTTGGTACTTTTACCCCGCCATGTATGTAAGTCATGCCTCTGAAGTAGTGTTTGTCATTTAGTGGCTAAATTAGCCAATTTTGGAGTGTAGTGGCTATTTTAGCCTCAAACTGTGTTGCCAAACGGAGGCTAAATAATTTTTGAGATTGAAATGTGCAGTGTAAAGTAAGCAGGTTAATGTGTGTACTATATGGGACATAATAAATATTTTGCAAACAGTAATATGCTTGGTGATTCGAAAATTCATGGCTCGAATGTATCAAAATGACGTAGTATCAAAGCAGTATCGTTGTATCAAAACGACATTGTTTTGATACATTTGTGCTATTCGGGCTACACAGATTCGAGCTACCAAGTATTTTTTTTTGCAACCCAAGAGAATATAGATATTTTTCATTTTTCATTTGTTTCCTTACATTTGAACCATTCGGACCAACAAGAATTTTTCTTTTGCAAAAACAACAGGACCAGTCCCAAGGGAACATAGATAATTTTCATTTTTCATTTGTTTCCTTATGTTTTTCCACAAATCAAATGTAAGCATGTTTTTCTAAGAAGGATACTTCTTAGAAAATAAGGAGTTAAAATTATACACAATAATAACACAAAATGTGTTCGATAACTCTACTCCATCACCCCACTCTCAAGCCTGTCAAAAACTATATACAAGATGAATCCATCTCTCTCTCTCTCTCCCTCTCTCTCTAGTCTTCATCTGCTGAATTGTTAAATCAATTATAAGCACATCGCAGAAAAAAAGAAAAAGAAAAAAAGAAGGTATTATATTAAGTAGTTGTTTAGGATGTGTTATATAAGTGTATTTTTTGACTTTTTGGTTAAAAATGTGGAGAAAAAAAAAATGTATGTTTGGGATAACTTTTTGACTTTTTACGAAAAAGATGTATAATAAAATATTGTAATAAAATCAAAATGACCATTTTATCTTTTTGACTTTTGGACTTTTTGGATAGTTAAATTCGAAGGGCAAAATAACAATTTTGGCCTAGTGGCTTCTCCCACAAACTATCCTTGAATAGTATAGACTTTTTAGTTTTTTTAATAATTTTTTGACTTTTTTAATTTATCCCAAACTTATACTAAGGCCAAGTTTGGGGACTTTGAAAAAAGTCAAAAAATCAAAAAGTTACTCAAAAAGTTAAAAAGTTAACACTATTCACCAAAAGTCAACAATTACGGCTGCACAACTCCCAATTCAAATTTTTCCCTACAAATCAATTTTTACAATTTTTTATTACACATTTTTCAATAAAAAGTCAAAAAGTTAACCCAAACATCCATATTTTCAACCTCAATTTTTTAGTCCAAAAAGACAAAAAGTGCACTTTTTTAGTCTTCCCAAACTTGGCCTAAGAGTATATTGGGTTACAAAAATTATTATGGATAAGCATTTATGCTAAAATTGAATAGATACAATGTGTTTCAATTAAAACATATAAGTTATTCATGCTCATTTCAGATAACATAAGTTACTTTTAAAAATTATATACAAACGATTTTATACCAAACATATTGTTGGTTACATATTTTATACAAGTCAATTACAATTCGACGCGCAGCAGAATAAGGGTAATACAGGAAGACTATTCAAGTCTTCAATCCTGATCGTACACGTGGCAGTTAGTATTGGTTATTACGAGATCTGAGTAGTAGTGGATCAACAAAGAGATGCAAGGTGATGTGGCTTCAACGATTACTCACATTTAAATTCAAATTTAAGAGGGAGGCCTAACTGCAAGTGATAGCATAGTGGAGCTAATTATAAGGCAACATGATCAGCGATCATGGAGGAGCAGTTCGACGGTTAGAAATGCAGTTCGATGGTCATCCTTGAGAAGTATAAATAGCAGAGAAGGCCCACAAAAAAACTCTCAGACTCAGATCCAAAAAATCAGTCTTATTCTACTTTTTTTCCTTTTTAGTTTTACATTTCCAGTCTTACATTTCCTGTTCTTTACATTCATGTACTTTAAATTCCTGCACTGCACTTCGTTCATATGAGTAGTTTCAAGTAGTAGATTGTTGTTGTAAACCTCTACGAGGCTGAGTTTGGGTCATTATAAGTTTTTCATTTTAATGAAATGCTTCAATTGTTCTTCATTTAATTGTTATCTTGTTTAATTCTCCTAAATCAAGCCACCAGTAAAAGTCCTCTTCATTGAGACTGAAAGAACTAAAACATAATTGTCTGATAATTGGTTGGCACTTAATTTTCTGTAAGGACTGATTGATCCTTGCTGGCACGCTCGCAATTACAAAAATAACCTTCGAAAGTCAAAAAGCCAACATATATTTTTAGCATGCCCAGTGGGACTAATTGAAATGGCTAGACGTAGGAGGCAAGGAGAAATTGAACGCTTGGAAGAAGGCATGGAATGAGAGGTAGAGATACCTAATCCAGAGGATAATGTGTTAACACATCCTGTGGGAACTTCCATTTTATCAGAACCTATGGTCGAACAGACCAGCACTTCAGAACAAGTACCACATGTTCATAATATTGGACGAGACCAAAGAATTGGACCATCCACTGTTCCATCTACTCAGCCAATAAATCCATGGGGTGGCCTAGTAGATGCCATGTGACAGCAGTTAATGAACACAATGGAAAGGTAGGCAACATCCTTTTTGGATCGAATGAATAATCACCAACCAACAAACGCAAGACACATGGAGGAAGTTTTAACTATCTCTCAACAAAGATTGGCTAGAGATAAACAGCCTATGCAAGTTAATGGACATTCTAATGGTCAAATTAGTAATCAGAACTATGAAAGACCATTACCTCAATCTTAGTATGAACCTATTTCGAGGCCTATGGCAAGTCAAAATGCCTCACTACTTAACAGTGAAGCCATGCAAATTGGTGGATCTAGCCCAGTACAAGAAAATGGTATAAGAATGATTCCAAATCTCATGTTTGAAGCCATACATGGCACGAGGGGGTTCACTAATCCCTTATTTGAATTTATACCCGGGGGGTTGGAAGGTTTTCCTACAAATAAAAGGGACACAACACCTGTTCCAGTACCTTTCGCAGGTCCTTTCGCAGGACAGGCTCAAAGGGGTTACCCACACCCCCAACAACAACCTGTACCACAAGGACAACCAGTCCCAAATATACCACCTTATAGACCAAGAGGACCACAGGCACAAGGTTGTCCACCAAATCCTGTGTTTGTCCCTCCAATAGTGGTTCAGCAAGCACAAGGCACAAAATATGGTCCCTAGGGACCAATTGCTAACATTGTTAGAGAGATGTATGGACCGATGGTTCAGGGGGTCCAGACTCCTGTATACAGGAAACCATACCCAGAATGGGTAGATAGGGTACATGAATACCCAAGAGATTTCAGGATACTAGATTTTGCCCTTTTTTATGGGAATGAAAACCAATCAACAGTGGAGCATATTGCTAGGTTTGCTGCTCAATGCGGTGAATTTACTAATAATGACGATATGAAGTTAAGGTTATTCCCAAATTCCTTGGCTGGGGGAGCATTTGTATGGTATATTAACCTTACACCTGGCTCTATCCAAACGAGGCAACAAATGGAAGAGGCATTTCATGCCCAATTCTTCCAATCGGAGCCAGAGATTTCTATGGCAGACTTGGCAAGATTGAGTCAAAGGCCTAATGAGAAGGCTACCCAATTTATTGCCAGATTTAAAAGGGCTCGAAACAAATGTAGGGTCATCCTACCAGAGCCAGAATTCGTGAGATTGGTTCAAAATGGTTTAGCGTTTAGGCTTCGAAAGAAGTTTGACTCAACTGAGTTTAGAGACTTAGTGGAACTGACTTATAAGGTGTCTAGGTACGAAGCATTACTAGAGGAGGAACAAGATCAAAATAATGCATCGTACAAGACATATTATAGAGATCCTAATTATGAGATTGATGCAGCAGAGATTGTGGGAAAGAACCTGTGATCTGTGAAGCATTAATTCATAAGGATACAACAGTTGACCAGCAGTTTAAAAAGAAAAACCTTCACAAGAAATACTCTTTTGAT